CAAGTGGCCATATAAAATAGAATTATGCCAATCAAACAAATTATGCCAATCAAATGAAAAAGCGAGAATATGATATATGATTACCTCATACCATTGCCATTTGGGAGTTAATTAATGAAGTTAATTAATTAATTATATGAAATTAGAAAATAATTCTATAATTGACCCTAATAATTATGTTGAGGCTCTAATAATTATAGTAAGTGAGTAAGAATGCTGAAAGTCGCTTTTCGGAAGAAAAGTGCAGATACCGGTTCTGCTAGTCGGTATATATAACACCTCACAATTTTAAATCAATTAATTAAAATATTAAATGAGCAATCAAGTGATGAATTAGTGAAAATCCTAAAGATTAGGCCAAAATACAAAGAAAGGGCAAAACGGTAATTAGCCAACACGCAACCCTAGGATGATAAAAATTGAGTAGAAGGTCTCAGATGGTAAAAATAACCCTGGAAATGGGTTCAGAACGAAAAATTGAGTGGATGGGCAAGTTTCAGAAAAATCAGTGAATAGTGTTTTTCGCGGGTAAAAATATCGCGTTACGATTGCACCGTAAAACGTGCCAGTTGAATTATGAGCTCTAGGTTTCAAATATGAGTTACAAATGGTCTATTGAGTTAGGAAATATAATTGTTGATAAAATTTGATGAAAGTAAGTCATTTTGGGGAAGCGTGCCAACGGCGCGCGCAGTAGCTTAAAACAGTGTTTTCTCCGAACGATCGGAAAACTCCGAACTCACCTAATCAAGTATAATTAAAGGAGAATGGTTAATCTTAAAAATTAGAGTTTCTAAATAGGTTGTGAATTTACAGGCATTTAGTGGAATCGTAGAGAAATCCGGATGAGTTTTAAGTCGCGTGAGGTGGCGTGGGACCCACCCCACTTAAAATCCACTTAATCCACCTCATCACCACTATTCATCATCACCTTCTCTCCTCCCCTTTCAGCCAAAACCCGCAGCCCCTTCACCAACAACACCATTTTTGCTTCAAAATTTCATTTCATCATAACTTTGTCATTTTAGCACCAAATCAAGCGATTTTTGTGTTGAAATTTGTTGGAAGCAACCTTCCAAACACATTGGTGGTATCCATTCACCTTGAAACCCTCTCATTGTTGAGTTATTGGGCAAAATCAGCAGCGAAAATTTGGGGGAAAATGGAGTTTCATGGAGTCATTTGAGCTTCCATTGCTTGGAGAAGTCTTGGGTTAGCTTCTAGCCTTTGTTGTGAGTATGTTTCCATCCCATTTACATGGTTTAATTGTGATTGAATTTTTGGAAACCTAAAGCTTGAATTTGATGATTTGTGTTGTTAGAGAGCTCAATTGGAAAATGTGTATTAGATGATAATGTCTTAGAATGATGTGTGAGAGCTAGAAATGCCATGAAAATTATTGATGAAAATTATGAAAATTTAACTTAGAAATTTTGAGGAATGTCATGACTTTGTGTTTTGGAATTTTGTTGGGAATTAATTAATGAGTTGTTGTATGATTATATGATGATATAATGTAGTTGTGTGAGGTGTGGAGTGATTAAAAGTGAATGGAAATCCTAGAATTGCCCTAGGTTACAACTTGGCCTTTAAAGGAAAATTAAGGAATTGATGTTGTTGGAAATTGTTTGAGTGATGAATTATGTGTTAAAAAGGTAATTAGATGGGTTGTGTGGTGATTGGCAAGTGGAAGAATCAATGCAAAAATAATAAGTGGCTTAGTTGGCATAAAGAACCTAGAGTGAAATATTTTGCAAAACGATGCGTAAATGTCGTAAAACGGAAAAATGACGATTGAACTAGCCTCTAAGCAACCTAAGGAAGCGTAATAAAATGAGAAAGAAAATTTAGAAAAATAAAAGTGGAAATAAGCCTAGGATGGCTGAACCTACCAAGTGTGGGTGATGTGATTTTGTGATTTTGCGTTTTGATGATATTTGACGCGTACTGATGGATGTACATAATTGTATAGGTTGCCGTACGTTGACTTGAATCCCGAAACTTGAATATGGGAGTTACCCTTGGTCTTGGACCAAGTGGATTGAGGTATGTATTTAGTTCAATGCATGTATAATTGTAAATTAGCATGTATTGTTTGAATTATAAGAGATTGGGAATGTCCTCTGTGTAGGCATTCCACTGTGTACCAAGTTGTGGGATAAGCTGCTGCGGAGCTAGTGAGGAAATTACTTAAGGTAACCTCTTGGTACTGGGGCTTGTTCCCCTTTTCTGTTCCACCTTGCCAGTTGATGGTAACGGTAGGAAGTGTGTATGAATAGTATATAACACATGAGCATGCATGCATTATTGCTATGGGTACTTATGTACCGAGTCTCTGGCCAGTAGACAGTTTTATTAGCCTTCGGGCATTTTCGGACTTCCGCTGGATAGGTCTCCAGGAGGGAGTTCCAGTTGACTGCGGTCATGGTGTGTGATCCGGGTAGGAGCACACTAGGAATGTCTTTGGCGTTTTGGTTGGTTTGGGCATCATGGTTGTGGTTTCTGTGAACACACCTTGGATGATACCCATAGGCTTATATATGCCGAGGGCGTACGTGGAATTGGGGTTACCATCCCGTATCGTCGTATTTTGTTTTCTTTATATTCCCCATTCTCTAAATCCCTTGCTATATCCCGTTTTCAAAGTGGTTGTTGTATTCTATTGATATGCATCGAAGTGAACCATTGGGTGGAGTTTTCTCCAGAACCTCTTGGTTACTGAGATATATTCGTATATCTCACCCCGTCTCGCGGCATTTATTTCAGGAGGTAGCAGTGGAGCAGGAGCCTCGGGCAAGAGGCCCGCAGAGTAAGCGCTGGAGCGCTTCATATTTTGCATTTTGTTGGCCGTGTGGCCTAGGCTAGACTTAGGGCATGAACATGTCATTTGTATTTATTAGTAGCTTCATTAGCATCTTGTTCATGCAATTTTGCCTAAGCCTAGTAGTGATGTATTTGGTTATGTTGTCTTTTAAATTTAAGATGTAATTTTAGAAGAATGTAATTTGAAGTTTTAGTTTCAAGTTGTGATTTGTAAAGCCATATTGTAATAGTATTGATGCATGTCTATTTATGATGGAAGGGCCTTAGGCCTATTTTAGGTTATGATAATATGTATGATGGAAATATGCATGAAAAAGGTGTTAGTGATTGCAACTACTTAAGAATGATTAATATGGACTCTATGTTTAATAACTATAAACTGGATTGGGTTGTAAGTGCCCCAAGGCGTTGTTGGTCCTTGTGTGTGCCACCCATTGGATTATTACTGTATTATCATGTGTTTATTAGGTACATTTGAGGTTTAAATGATCTTTTACAAATTTGGGATTATTGGAAAAACAAAGGAAACTCTGGCGAATTTTCTGTAGAATTGGCAGATTTTAGGCAAACTTCGGGAGAGCATATCTCCCTCCATAGAGGTTCCCTAGGGACGTGCCATACGCCATTTTGAAGGTTGAGATGTCCTCTACCTTGTGTCAAAACTTGAGGAAATTCTGGGTTGATTTTCGGCCTGAAAAAAATAGAGAAACATGGACTGCCCATGTGCCCCTGCACCTGAGGCAGATTCTGGACCGGATTTGGGAAATTAATTCCCGCTTCGTTTCTCCGTCAAATTAAGCGTGTGATATATCAAAATGAAGTTTGAGATGTCTAGTTTGTAGGATAAAAATTTGGGAGCAAATGGTTGAGGTTATTGAGTGCAGTAATTCGAGCAATGTGAGTGGTTTGGAGCTGTTTTTGGGGTTGTTTGGGCTAATTGCTTATCCAACTTCAAACGGCGATAACTGGAGCAAATGAGCTCCGAATTGAGCGTATGATAGCTTGTTAAAAAGGGAATTAAGTAATACAAAAATATAATCTGAGAAGAAAGGTTGGTTGCGATCGGTTTGGTCGCAGAAAAATTTAGAGTGAAACATGTTCGAATTGGTAAAAATGTAAAGTTGGAAATAGGCTAAGTGAGTTTATGGGAACTCCTTAGTAACTCATAATGAATGATGTAAGTTATAAAAATAGTTAAAATAAGTCTTCCGCAAGAGTTTACGGTTACGGTCACAGCTTTTAATTATTACGCCTTTTTATGTTTTAAATGCTCGTGTAATAATCGGAAAAAAATTTATTCGCGTTTTATAAATGAACTGCTGTGATTGTAACTGCGCTTAATATCATAATTAATGTTAACAATACCGGTACGTAACGGGCTGTTACATTTTATGGTATCAGAGCAGTTTTGTTAGGGAACTCTGATAATGAATATATAGTTGTGTTGTGTGTTGCATAGTTGTATGTAGATTCTTATCGATTACTGCATATGTGATTCCTTAGTGTGGGTCTGATCAACTCATTCCTTTGTGTTACATGCGTAGTCATCGTAAGAAGCCTGCGTGGCAACCTTGGAACACCAAATGTAAGTCCTTAGCCTGATGTTGTGGATGCAGTGTTGACTGCTCCATGGACAAGAGATGGCAGTAAGTAAAATATGAATATTATAGGACTTCAGGGAAACATACACTACAAAAATTCAAGCATTTTGTGGAGGTCATATTTTCATATTGTGGGGGGTTTTTGACCCCCACAAAGTTCATTTGTGGCATCCTCAATGACCCCCAGTTTTGCCTACGCCACAACATACTTTGTGGGGGCTTTATGTACAGCGCCACAATTTGTTAAAATATTTTCTGGAGGCTCCGTATCCCCACAAATGTTTCAGTTTCTGGAGGTTTAAGACCCCCACAAATTTGTTGAAAATTTAAAAAAAAATCATTTAAAATTTCACGTTTCTTTTAAAAAACCAGGTAGATTCAAAAGAATAAAAAAAAATCTATTCCAAATATTTGAATACATATCTTATATCTAAATAGAACTTGGTTTCAAAGATAAAAAAATCAAACAGATGTATAAATGAAATTAAAAACTAAAAGTTATTAAAAATTGATAACTATTCATGCAAGCCAAAATTTGGAAGTTCTACAAGACAAATTCACAATAATGAACTAAATAGTTTTGTCAACATAATTATATGAAATAATCTAGCTAAATATGGGTGCTCATTATGATAATGTGATCTCCCACATACAAATGGGGATATAAACCCCTAAAACAGTGGAAAGGCAAACTCGTACATCTACATCAAAGAGTATGTACCATACCATCACGAAAGAAAAGACAATTTCCCAACAACCTACACGAACCGAGATCACATCAAGCCATACAAAATCATGCTTAATCCTTCCAGAGTTCATATGCAAGAAATGCTCTAAGTACAACGTGACATGAAAAGAAAGAGAGCACTCTACAACAGTTTCCTGAATTCCTTTTGGGTCAGATACATTCTGCAATGGAACAAACACCAAAAATGGGGAGTCAATACTCATGAATCAAGATAAATGCAGCCTAAGAAGAAATTTGATAGAAGACATGCAAAATCAACTTTTGTTACATCTGACATATATAAATGAGTACATATGGAAACAAGAGGAATATAAGTTTCAAATCAGTGCCTACTGTCCCAAACCCAATGATATAGAGTACAAGACGATAAGTAAGAAAACATCTTTTACTTAACATGTAAATACTAAATACACATAGCAGGAACAATAAAGGAGAGAATAAAAAAATGTTTAAGCACACACCTCAAAATACAGGATCAGCAGTGAGTTGACTCCAACTAATCCTCTGCCCCAAACAAATCAACAATTAGGAAGTCAAATTTCAGTTTCACAAGTATATGTAAAAACAAAATAAACTAAACTGGGAGTATAAAAAAATATAGCACATTTACAGTCTAAACATATTTTTTGAGAGAATGAACTAATTCATTGAAAAATGAACGTAACTTACCATCGGTGAGGAGGCAGGTTCAAAGTAATAGCCTTCCCCCTAAACCCAAGAAACTCAGCAAAAAACAAACACATCCAAGATACCTGTAAAATTATAAATCTAACTTAATAAAAAACATCCAAGATATACGCCATTTTCGATCCTCTTTGCCTAACAATTCATCAAGATAACTTAATATTCTAACTTAAACAGAAGAAATGAGAAAGCTACATGAGCTTTTCTCAAAAGATATTTTAGAAATAATATGATGACTTGGCATATGCAACATTTACAAATAATAAAATAAACAACCGCAATACAACCTTGCTTGCATAAGAAAGAGTAAGGATGCAATCAAGAAACTATTTTAGAGGTAAAACAATCTTTCCTGAATGAAGTAGATACACACAAGGGTCCTCACAGATAATAGATGAGGTCTTGTTTCCCTGACATCATTTAAGTAGTTAAGAAAAAACAGAACAACAATCGATCTTCACATCAATCCTCACAACCTTAGATTAAGATGATAAAAGTAGCTACATCTTAAAAGTGTCCATTAATCAACATCACAATGTATTAGCAACAAACACAGCAATGCAGTCAAAAGACCAAGTATACTCAACTTACACTCTTAGCTAGAAGCCACACTCCATGTTCTCTGACTTCCACCACAGGCATTTCCATCCTGCAGGTGTTTATAATTATAAGATGATCAAAACAACAATAAATTAACCACATGAAAGCACAAAAAATTGAGCCTTACTTAGGTGGAGCCGTGGGCCACCTTAACAGTGCAATTACAGTACCTATGAAGAAAACAGTAACATAAAAATACAATACTAAACTTTAAGATTTATCAATAGTATTAATCTCAAACCCATACCTGAGCTATTTGTTGACATTGGTATAGCAAGAGGGATTAATCCTTGCTTGGCACCCGGAGAGATAATAGATTCACCTGCTATACAGAAAATTCAAGCTACATATGTGCATAACATAGTTTGATAGACCAAAATAAAGGGTAGATATACTGAACAAAGTCAAAAACAATCATCAATTATGCAAGGTTTTGTAAAGAAAATAATGAGGCATACATGGTCTCCAACAATTATCACTGATTTCCCCTAATTGGTATACTAGTAACTAGATGACTTGAAATTATACGAAGTTACTTACTTCACTCTTTCAAGTTTGAGACCCATTCTTTTATCAGAATCTTTACCTGTGCAAAAGTAATACAAGTTAAAAAAAAAATTAATTAGCATCAACTTGAACCATCCTCCTCTTTCTCATTCGTAACTGATATACATAATACCTATAAACAAACAGGCATCATGTTTTTTTAATTACAGGAGTGTATTAAAATACTATTATCGAACAATACAAGTTAAAGGAAAAATTCTATATGCAATATTGTATGAAAACTAATAATGTATTTTTTTATCCCCAAAATTACCAAAAAAAAATTTATTTATTTAATTATTTATTTTGAATGAACATATTTTCAACCTCACAGCACAGGCCAGTCTAAAGAGTTAAGGGATTTGGCGATAACCTGATCGAGGATTATAGTAACCTAAAACTTCAAGGTTCTTGCCATCTCTTGTTGTTTTACTATCAGTAACAATGACTCGGTAGAATGGATTGTTCCTGAAAATGATATATCAAAGAAAAATGAGAGTTAATTAATAGTTACCTGGCGAGAGCGTTGCCGGAGGCGGAGACGGTGGTGGCGTAGGAACTTCCGACCATGTGAGGAGATCGGAAGTGGAGATGTGTGGCTTTCTCACCGGCGTGCTTCTCTGCATTATCGCACCAGAACAAGCGTGAAAGTCGCACGATCCAACCAAATGGATCAATAAGCAAGCATCAATCAAAACCTAAACAAGGTTAACGAAAATATCAAATCTGAAATTGAACCTCTTCGATTTTGGAGAGTTGAGTTGATCCAAACCGAAGAAGGGGAATCCATTATCGAAATATGGGTGGCCATTTCTCTGTTTCCATAAAAGAACTAAAGAACTATCATTGAATATCTTTCACTTGTAGCGGCTTAGTGAAGAGATAGTAATAAGGTTTGTACAAAGGAACGAGAGAGTGTTACGATAGATAATAATTTTTTCAAAAAAATTAAATATAATTTTTTAAAAATTCTTTCTTGAGTTGCATAATATGTACCAAGTGAATATAAATTATAAAAAATATATATTGTATATTTTCAAACAATTTAAGATAGTAAAACATAATGTCAAATTGTGGAGGTTTAAAACCTGCCAAAAATTAAATCATTCAATGGAGGTTTTTTTGACCTCCACTAAAAAACCTCCAATAATCACCTATTTTTTTGTAGTGATAATACAATCACATAATTATTATACAATCACATAATTAAAACAAAATTATAAATTATTTGATAATATTATCAACATAATTCCTGCTCACCACAAATTTTTCCTTGTTTGTATTTTTCGTAGATGTTATAATTCCCTTCCTCTTGAAATTTTTTTATCCCGGGAGGTGTCTTTTGTGGCTAGAGAGAATTATAACTTAAGATGGAAGAAGATTTGGAGGGAGAATAATCAATCTATCCTTAACATAAAAACTGTTTATCATTCTATTCTACTTTGATAAGTTTTGAACATGTGGATTTCATAAATGTAATACGTGTCATCATCATATGATTGACATGTGTTATATTTGTATTTTCCGAAGAAGAAGAAAAAAAGACGTGTTATATTTGTGTGACTAGTGAAAATTGTTAACTTCAATCAAAGTATAATATATAGACTGATAAATAATTTTTAAAATAAATGTAGTTTCTTCAATCAGCCAAATTTGGACCAATTTTTATTGTTGGTATAGTAGTAGCATCTTGATTTTGTGATGGCGACATCGGTGGTCAACGATGAAGATGTTGCTAAGGTTCTTGACCGCCGACGGTGGTTCTAGCACGGCGGTGCTTTTTCTTCTACCTGTGGCTAATGTGCTGCTAGTCCCTCATTCCCCTAATTACCCTTTCTTTCTTTCTTTCTTTTTAATATTTATTTATCAGAGAAGAAATATAGGATCATGGAAAGAGGAAATCCTTCGCCGTGTCGTTAGTTGCGTGTTGGTAATGAACATATAATAAAATTCATATTGGACTCGGTATGACTTCAAAGTTCAAATATACCACAGACGCGCTTTCCTACTAACTTGAACTACTCTTGAGAATTTCCAAACACGGCTTGAAATGTATTTTTTTTGTCTCTCTTTTATTTTGCCTTAACTTAACAGCTAATTAATCGTATAATCACTTATATATAAATAGCTTATATCCCTACACAAACCACCACAGCATAAAAAACTAAACATATTTTCTGTCCACCCTCGAGATCACATTGCACTCATAACCACCATGGCTGAGCACCACCATCACCATCACCATCACCACCCTCACCACCACTCTCATCATCACAAGGATGGAACTCAAGTTGACTATAAAAAGGAAGAGAAGCACCACAAGAATCTGGAGCACCTTGGTGAAATGGGAGCAGTTGCTGCTGGTGCTTTTGCATTGGTAAGATATATTTTATTTACAAGACAAATCAGTAATCATTCAATATGAATCATAATAAAGATATTTTAATGTTGTTATAAACTTGTTAATCTCATTGTAGATTAAATTTCCATTTTTGTTATCAAAAGTTTTCAAATTAATTTGGTCCCCTTAAAATTTTTTGACAGGAATATATATAGTCCAATAGTTATATATTGTTTGCTGAGACTAATTGATATAATTTTTTAGCAAAAATTTATCATTTTGATATCATTAACCTTTCTATAATTATATGGATAGAGTTGGTTAAACTTTAATTCTTTAACCATAAGATTCTGTTACCACGATTTGAATCTATGACTTTTTTATTTAAATCTATACTTCCTCGCAACCGAGTCCATACATATTTTGTTATATAGTTTGTTATTTCATTTTAATTTTGTGAATTCTTTGTCATTTATTTTTTAATGTAAGATTTATCACATAAGATGATGATTTTGTTAAATCCTTTTTAACTCTAGCATGAGAAGCACAAAGCAAAGAAAGATCCAGAGCATGCCCACAGGCACAAGATAGAGGAGGAGATTGCAGCGGCAGTCGCGGTTGGAGCTGGTGGATTTGCCCTCCATGAACATCATGAAAGGAAAGAGGCCAAGAAAGAATATAAGGAGACTCATGGAAAGAAGCACCATCATCACTTTGGTTGAAAATAAAAAATAAAAATAAAGACATGAGAGAGTGTGTTGTTCCCAGTTAGCAACTATCCTAATGATTAGTTAATGTTTGATGTTTTAGATCTGTGTATGAATTTCGTGTGTTAAGCTTTCATAGTTTCACTAATAGGCTTGTAGTTTGACTTTTAAGCCTCTCTCTCTATATATGAAATATTTATCTCTAAAGTCTAAAGTATCGTATACGTGTCTGCAATCTTAATGCATAAGGTATCCAATTTTGAACAGTTATTTTTATTTTTGCTTGGGATTTTCATTTGTATACTCTATTCGTTAAACACATTTTTCATTTTTTTAATTTTTATTCATTCATTAAAAGCATACTTTTATTAATAATGATTTAATCAAATGCCGTTACTCGTTGATTGTCCCGCCGGCTAATAAGATCAGAACATGGGAATGTTGATTTTACTTAATGGGTGATGTTGAAGGCGGACTCTGACTTTTTCAGTAATTTGCATTTCAGAATCCTCCACTTGTGTGCTGAATTAATTGATTATGATGTTGATTTGTTGAACTAACAATCTGCTTTTCAGAAACTTGAATTAAACTCAATATAGAAATATTATTGAATTATTGAATATCTCCACTTGTCCACCACATCTCGGATTGTTTGTTTATAATGTTACTGTCTTCTATTAATAGTTTTGTTCACACACAAAAATTTAGGTTCATTCAACCAAAAAAATAAAAAAGGCTCAGTTTAAATAGTTGGTGTGTTTAGCTAAAGTCCATTTCAGCCCAAATCTAAAAGTTTAGCTAACTTACAAAAGGCTAAATCTGTAACGGTTATGGGCTGTTGCATTATGGATAGTGGGCACTAAAAGAGGTTTGTTAGTTGTTTCATTAGTTTGGTCCAAATAGTTATTCATCAGTTGATAAATTGCACAAGTCAAAGGAGTTTTAAACCACTTCCTATTATATAGAGTAAAACTTCAATTAATAAATTTACAAAATATTTTTTATTGTTTGAAATCATTCGAGAGGTGTTCTTCAAGTTAACAAAGAAAGTGTTAACGGCCTTTAAGCCGAGTCTGGGTTAGATATTTTAACTTAATGATTATTCTTTTGTTGTTTTTCTTTCGCTTTGAAGTGTTTTATTCTTTAGGTGGACGTACAAACGAGATTCACTAAACCACGTCAAATGAAAGCACACGGGCTAAATACAAGATACATTAGTCTTGAAAACCATTTCCTTTGGGTAAATGAATTTTAAAAGTAATGCATTTCTTATCTAATATTCAGACATATCTGCTGAAGCTTCTCCAACATTGTGTCTCTTTCCTCCTCACACGGACTAGCATGCACAACAGTGTAAACAAAGGGTATATGGTTTTCCAACTCAACTTTCATGTTAATAAATTGGAAAAACTGGGTTTTTTGACCAAGGTAACCTTAATTTAATAATTAATTAGTAATTCATCCTTCAACCAAAACATATCATCCATCTGCCGTGTTTACGTAACATACCCGGGTAGACAGGGGATACCAGGTATAATTTGAAAATTTCACCCTACCTGGGTAATCAAAGGAATATTCGGG